GGTATAGCATCTTCTCCCTCTGCTCTCCCAAATCACCAGATCACCAAATTCAACCCCAGTGTTTGATAAATATGTAGTAATCCTCAAATCTCCAAAGTCAACCTCAATGTTTGTTATATACGTGGTCCCAAAAAGAAAAAGTAAAAATATCTAACTAGAAATTATTTGAGAAAAATTGTTATGGGGCTTTTGATGAGAAAGATTAGCCAACTTGGGAGAGAGAACCCCATCCTGTTCTTGTTTTTTTGGCCTCTCTATTGGTGATCGATGTTGCTTAGATTAATAGAAGTTAAAACTTAATTAGGAGTCTTACAACTGAATGTTAGTGTGTGCAATATAGGTGTTACACTTATGACCCGGATTTTACTTGGAAACAATTGGCGTACTGGTTGGAAATCCGCTACTTTCTGGTTTATGTGAAGCAAAGACGGCAAAGATGTTTTGAACCTTTCTTCAAAAAGTTGATTTATGTGATCTGCACTGGGTGCGGCTGCACTCAGAATTGCATGGTTGCCGGGCATGATCCTTAGTAGCCCCGTCCTTTGTACCCTTTAAAAGTGGACTCTATGCTGCCAACGTATAAAGGATATTGCTTTATCAGCGATTTTTCATTAGGAAGTCTTCCCATTGCCGGGGTGATGATGAAAACTTTGTAAATGGTGTTGTGGAGTAGCCAAGCGGAGCTAATCTGTCTTCCTTCTTTAGCACTGCACCATGTATTTTACTGTGTTGGTGTCATCTTGTCGGCATTTCAGATGCTAGGACTGGCTTCATCTGGATTCTACTTAATGCATTCACGGTTTGCCTTGCCCCTTCGCGTAACATGGCAGATATACGGGGGTAATATTGTGGTCCTACCATCCTGGCGCAGCTGTAGTGTATATGTGGCCTTTAATCAGATAATCAAATCACCATGAATCTGAGTTGTGATCATTAACAGATATTTTAGGTCAAGGGTCATTTCAAATTGTTTGATATAAACAAAACTGAAACAAAAGTCTGAACTCAGTGTTCTTTTCCACTTCCATTCAAAGGCACACGTTTCCTGCAGGAACTAAAAGTTCAGTAGGTTTGTTTTGTACATAAAGAATAAATCTTCATCTTTGCTTTGCCTGGCTGGAAGCCTGGAATGGAATAAGCCGTATGCTTGATGTTTGCAAATTATAACTGTCCAGAGGATATATTCTGCAGACTCTAACTAAACAATGAGAAATCCAGAGCAAAATTTAGCAGTGCTGTTTATAAAGGTTTGATAATTTGATTAAGCATTGAAGCTCTCCAGTGATATAATCTAGTTTGATTTTGCATATCTCAGAGCACATAGCTTACATGCACACACCACAAACTCAGATACAGATTCGAATCATATACAACACATAGTTTGAATCCCTGTAGGCAGAAGCAAAACTGCGCATATATAATCTATATTTCCCAGTTCATAAATTCCCTGACTTCAAAACAACCATTCCTGAATCCCACCTCCATTGCAACTCGTTCAAGGCTGAAAAGGCTTCCTGGTGAAGCACGGCAATCCAAAAGGGTAACTGTTTACGTACCGACTTGGCGCTGATGAATGCCTCAGTCCCTTTGGCATGCAGTGTTTTACTACCCTTCCATAGTGAAGCCCTTTTCTGTGATGCAACGGGGGCGGCTTCATATTGACATAGCCTCCTTCCGGCCTTCTTGTTTCTCCATATATCATCGTGCTCGGACCGCTATACGGAAAGTTTCTTGCTGTTGCATCATTAGGAGTAGGCAACAATAACAGCAGAAATATGATCGCAATGCAGAATGCATTAGTACCAGCCATCTCTAAGGTTGGATAGAAGTTTTGCAATGAATTGGTAAATTTTGTGCTGCAGAAAAGAAGTGAAGGGGTCCTTAAATAGGCTGGTGAGTAAGACTTGAGGAAGGCAGATGCTGAGCTGCACAGCTCAGCTGAAGTAAGAAGAGTACGTGGAGTTATCACTATTCAGCATTCATGCAGGCGGGGGGATTCAGTCTTCTGGACACGAAGTGTGGTCATGATGAGTTGGTGTGGTGGGTGCTCTTTTTGAACTGTGAAAGTCCCTCTGTTGAAGGCCAGGATGCCCGTGATTTCCCGTCAATGCACCCAAGTCAGATACCTCTTAGTACATGATATTTCCTCGTTTATAAGTTAGCAAATTGAGTCGTGTGAATCTGAGCTACTATACTTTATGAAAACAATACATCAGACCCTGTTCCAGATTCTGGGGTTTCTTTTCTCAGCTTGTAAAATTCGTTCGTTCATCTGCTATCAGTTAGGTAGATGTATCTACAGTATAATAAATGATTCGTTCCCAAGAGGAAACAGAAATTGCTAAATGTCTGACCGACGAACACAAAAGTGATGCTTCAATGATTTTCCTACAACTCCACGTATTGTTGCTTATCTGTAATGAGCATATTTGGTTAGAAATATTTTTAACCCTTCGGAAAGTTTGTATTTAAAACCTATTAGCTACCACGAAAGCACTTTTAAGTGCAGCTAGTGTTGGGGCCGTCCAGGCGGGCAAGGTTTTAAAGAGCATTTATGGAGCTTCAATAGGAGAAACTGAATTGGTTTACTCTTATAAAGATCAAACACTGCCCTGGCCACTAGCATTAATTATTAACATCTTTTTAACCTTTTTGAAGACCTTGGAAGAGCCAATGCAAGTTTCTAATGATAATGCTTAGTTTGGGAGTTTAGGATCGAAAAGAAAAGATGAGAAATATTGAGCTACGATAGAAAAGAAGAGGAGAGAAAATAAGGGAAGAGATTTGAAATAATTTTAGACATGTATGCAATTAAAATTTTATTCAATAACTATATAAGGGCAGAATTGATATTTTCATAAGATTTATCAAGCTTCTGCCAGCTTTCCTTCATTTCCCCCCCAATATTTGGACAGACCGATGGAAACTTTATTTAACTGTAGCTACAAAACTCTCCTTCCAAATCAATTGATTTAAACTCTCCTTTCAAATCAGTTGGTTTCTCTTCTTTTGGATCCTAAAAAATCTTCCAAATAACAGAAACCTTCCTCTTTCTCTCACTTCCCTTCCTAAACAACAAAAATCTCCCAAGTTACATTGCCGTTTGACGGAAAAAAAAAATTGAAAATCTCTCAAGTAGTGGCCTGTTTGATAACATAAAAAAGTGCTGAATCTGAACTTTTTCAGACATTCAGATGTTTGACCGTTTGATAAATGAAAATCCATTTGCTGAATTTGTTAAGTAGTGCTGAACTTGTATGTATTTTTTCCAGCACAAGAATCCTAATTGAATGCTTAATTCTGATAAGAATCAATAGAATTACTTCAACTACCTGATCTTATCTACCAAATCTACCATTATTTATTAATTATGTTCAAAATTCTTATCTAATTAAACAACCTAATATTCTCCATCTAATGATTTTCTATTTTTCTTGTCTCCCTTTTTAATGACTTTCACATCTTTTCCATACTTCTCATATAATATATTTCATCTTTTATATTAATTTGATTTAAAAATAAATATTGTCGTTTTCATACCTAAAAATTTTAATCTAATTGAATCATAGGTTCTATTTTTTTTTTTGGATGAAAAGATATAGGGGCAAAATTTTCAAATTTAACTTATTAAGCATTCAGTTATAAATATTTATCAAAAAGTATAAATAGGTTTAGTATTAAAATTCAAACATTCATATATTTCTTTTTCAGTATTTAAAATTCAACAAATTAATTATTTTAATATTTAAATTTCAGAATTCAGACTCCAAAAAAATTTAAATTTAATTTTATCAAACAGAACTTAAAGGTCATTGACCAAAATAAAATGTAACCATAGTCGACTTTCCTAAGTCAACCCCACAATTACCACAACCCCAACTTGTGGAAGGGTGGAAGCCCATGAACAAGACCTGACATGCAAGGCTTTTTCTCTTGTTTAAAGTTCACACGTGTTCCTCTTCAATACAACTTGGACAGGAGATCAAACAATTATGCCACGTGGCAAAAACCCAACAATGCCAAGCTGAAATTTTTGAATGATCATAACAAGGGTTTGCCACAACCACATTAACTGGTACAGTACAAGTGTATTGCAAGTTTGCAACTTTGTAATACTAGTGTACAGTAGTTGGGAAGGTGAAAAGGAACAGGGTTTGGTATAACAATAGATGGATCTTGGTAATGATTTGGGCGGCAAATCTAGGGCTGTCAATGGGTCGGGTTCGGGCCGGAATTCATTATTTCGGATCCGGACTCGAATTACTATGCCGGATCCGGATCCGACCAGTTTATCCGACGGGTCTTTTATTCTATGTTCCGGATCCGGATCCGGGTCTATCCGAACAAATTTATCAAATTTTATAATTTCTAATAAAAATGAGAAAAAAAATATATTTGTAAACTAATTTCTAACTAATGCAAAGAAAAAATCAAATAAGAAAAGAAATCAAATTAATTTTATTAAAATACATCACCCTAATCAAATTATATTGATAAATATATATTTTTTAAATTATTAATTCATTTATATCCGGATCCGGGTCTAATACGGGTCGGAATACTATATTCCGTATCCGACCTGTTTTTTGTTTGACAAAACGGATCCAGAAAACGGAATTAAATCCCTACCCATACCCGCAATAATTTCACACATCCGATCCGGATCCGGATCTAGACCCGACCCGTTGACAGGCCTAGGCAAATCAATAAGTGTACAGACTTCCTCTTAACTAACCCTTTCCCCTTTCCACCATTCTCTGTTTTACTTTTATGCATTATGTTTTGGAAGTTGTAGTCTTGGCTAAACTAGTAAAAAAATTTACTGGTCCGCCAGAGTTCTATCCGGATAGAATTTTAAGCTATCCACCAAAAATTATTAATGCATAATTTACCATATGCGCCTAGCAACAAAGAGATACAGGTAAGCATATATTCGGAAGCAGAGCTTGAGTATTTACTTCTCGTATCAAAATGAGCAAGGGTAAAATTTCATTCTCAATTGTGTGTTGTATCTGATAGAAAAGGGGGGTGAATTTTGGAAATTAGAAAATTAAACATTGTAGAAAAGGAATACCAGTGGTTAAGGAAAACAAAAGCACACTTGGAGATTTTGATAATAATACAGGGATTTGTAATTTTGTCTTGGAAAGTGCTAAAAAGGCAAATTAAAATTTTTGGTAAAACTGAGGGCATTATGCAAATCATATACTGCTAGTCTTTCTTGATACTCCAAATCCTGATATCAACAGCGGAAGGCTGAAGGCAGAATTCCTAAACCATTCCAAGATAAGGCACTTGATTGACACACCGGGGAGAAAAGGAATCATTCCAAAATGGAGCTCAGGTTGCATAGTACGGTTGTATCAGTTGCTTCCTTCGACAGTAAAGATAGTAAATTTTCTCCTCAATGTCCTTTCTTTTCTTTAAAATCCCATCTGGATAAGTTGAGAATTTTGCAGCATATGCTGGGAGATACTAGTTTGTTTTTTAATTGTGACTTTCTACTTACCTTCTGCCTACTACTGCCATCTGTTGAACTTATCCATTGTTACCCATTGCTGCTGGCGGCGGTAGTTGAGTGAGTTGTTGTATAATATGAGCGTACTGTCTAGTTAAAAATGGAATCTTTGATGCATGTGCTGTAAATGGGATTCTTGAGTTCATTATAGATTGCAGTAAAAACTTCACCCGAACTTATAATTAGTGGGATTTATTTATTTATTTGGTAATAACTGGGATTGATTTAAACTTTTAGGATAAGTCATTTATGGGTAGATAAGGAAGTTAGATATGGTGCCTTTTGTTAGGTTTTTTCAAGCAAGTGTTGAATTTGAGCGCAATTTGATGTTTGGTTTCTGGTTTCTAATTGTTTGAATCACCAGCGTCAAGTAGTTGCAACTTATTTAAGGATAGAAGGACTTAACCAAGAAGGGATATCTATTGTGCACAGTTCTAAAAAATAAACGGATTAGATGGCTAGTTAATTTCACAGCACTAATTAAAATGGGGCAAGAGGTTTGCAGTTTGTTGTTGTTGGGTGGTGAACAACACTTCAAGAGGGTTGCTGATATATTATAAATTCAAGATATAGTTAGATGCACATTCTGGTAGGTTTTCTCTTATATACCTTTTAATGACTGTATATGTTTGTTGATCCTTGAAAGTTGCTGGGGAGCAGAGCTGAAGAAGAAATGTTAAAATGCTGTCAATAAAGATCGATACTTAATGAGGTGGTGTAGTTTGTTGGAGGAAACTGTCCCCTGTTTAATACTCTTGATTAGTAAGATGAAAATTGAAGCATGGTAGAAGGATGTGGTCATATTTAATGGTGAGGCATAAAGTTTCAATTGATAGTTGGGGACTGAAGTGTCTGTAATGAATAATGAAACAGTTTGGATGTCCATTTCCTTATCATAATTTGGTTCGCAATGAAAGGGAGGATTAAAAAATAACTGACAATGATGTAATGCCATGTCTTGATTTAATGAGAATACCTTTTCTTGTGCTGTTTTGAGCTAATAATATCTAACTTGTCTAGGATTACTGAATGGTCACAGTTAAACAAGTCTCTCTAATGGTTAAAGATTTCTAGTTCTATGCATGCTCACCATTCTCTGATAAAAAGACGGTACCTAGATCTACGAAATCCCAATTTCTATAGGTTGAACCAAAGACAATCAAATTTAAGAATAAAATGAAAACTGGGAAGACAAGCTGGGATGGAGCTCTGTGCTTTATGCGAGAGATAAAGCTTTGCTAGTGTCCTCAAAATTGCTTTTTCTATGATTCCTTTAAACGCCACCAAAATGACAGAGTGCTGACTGAGTATGAATCTTTGACTTTGGTGTTGTGAAATACACAGAGATGGCGATAACTTCAAGACGATCATTCTATCTTTAGTGCAAACCTTGTTTTCTTCTTTTTAACTCAGAGAATGTCTGATACCTGGTGCTACGTCCTTGCTGATGAGACCAGGTAAACAGATGCATGTTCGACTACCCTCAATTGCTAGACCATAAATGCGAACTTGGACACATAAGACAATTTGATACATGCTATTCAAAATGTGCTTTGATGATGTATTGCCAGTTGGTGTCACAAACATGCATTTGAAAGTTCTATATCTTTGTTAATTCTATGCAATATTCACAACATGAACTTGCTCATTCTGATGTGTCTGTCAGCTCACAGCTCATTTACAGTTGGCTAGAAAAACTGGATTGATCTCTGCGCTTCTGATCTTGCTGGTGCAATGAACTCCGCTTGACTGTGGATAATACCTCTACTGCTATATTGTGAAAATTGATGTCTTTGAGGTTTGGTTAGAGTTGCTAAGATGTCCCTCTCGTGACAGATTTCCTGCATTTTTTTTCTTTTCATTTTTAACTTTACGGATCTCTGTTTTACAAGATTTTGCACTATATCTTGTCAACTGCTCAAAATCATCAGTGGCTGTTGCTGACCTGACTTTTGATATTATAAGCAGCGAGACAAATCAAACGCAATAGCTGTAAAGTGCTCCAGAGAAGTACTTATTCTCCTTCAGTGTTGAAGTTAAACCAACCAGAGTGCAGAACATGCAGAATATTCTGTGCTCTACCAGAAACAGCTGCTTCTATTGCAGTTGCTGCTACCATTGTAGGTGCGGCAGCTACTCTTCTTCAAAGAAGAACGGAAGCTTCTGAAACAACTGAGGTGTGTATGACAACTAATCGCAGTTCTTATGAGACTTTTAAGAGGCCATGTTGCGCATAGCGTTAATCTAACCTGAGAAGTAGAATATCTATTAAGAACTTGAATAACAACTAATCACAGTTCTTATGAGACTTCAGAGGTAATGTTGCACATAACACTAATGTAACCAGAGAAGTAGAATATCTATCAAGAGCTTTTCAAGTTCTTGTGCATTGCTAAATCAAATGTAAGTCGTTCTTATAGATGTGATTTTTCCATTATGTCTGTTGAAAGCTTAAGCTAAAAAACTGTTTATTGTTGTGAGACTTATTCCCATCTATATCAAAGTGAAGAATTTTATCATATGGGATAGATAACCTCTATGCATCTCAGTAGCCTATGATTCGAAATTTAGAATATCTCCTATTTGGTTTAATGGATATATATTCTGCCTTGATCTATTTCCTCTGTGGAACTACAGAGACCGTCAAAAAAAACCTAACCCAACAGTTAAGGAAAAACAGAAGACCATTAGCTTTGCAGTTAAATCCTGCCTTTACTCGTGCTGTAGGCAGGCATTTCTTTGAAGTGTGATCCTTGTTATTGGTACAGGCCTCCACAAAAATTTGTGATGACTGTGGCGGTTCTGGTGTTTGTCCAGAATGCAAAGGAGAAGGCTTTGTGCTAAAGAAACTCTCAGAGGAAAGTGCTGAGAGAGCAAGATTGATGGCAAAGAACGCAGCTACCAGATACACAGCTGGGTAAAATTGATGTACCTCCTCCCTTCTCTTTCTCTACAAATTTCTGTATTTTGGAAAATAGTAACAAGAGTCATGTGCTTCAATTCAACAGGCTTCCAAAAAAGTGGAGCTATTGCACAAAATGCTCTTCTTCTCGATCTTGTAGTAATTGTGGTGGCACAGGGAAGCTTGGCTTCTAGATTAACTGAAGTTTCGGTGGTTCTAATTGAGCTCTGTTTCTCATTGCATCGATCAGCTAAACGCCATCAAGACTCGAGAAGGTGCTTCAAGCAAATCAATGCCAGTCTTTTTCTTTATTTGAAGTCCCTGGAAAAGCCAGTCTTTTTACGCGCCTAAAAAACAAAAAGGACAAGTCTTTTTGTACGTAATTGCTTGCAATTTCTATGTATAGACAAATTTGTAGGAGCTTGAGTTGCTTTTACCTTTTTCCTTTTCACAACGCTACTTTAGTTGTTTCATGTTTACAAGAAACGATTTGCTGTGCATTCATTACATTTTTTGAAGCTTGAAATGATTTGGTGTATATATCCGGGGCTCTTGAGACATGGCATCAGTGCTCAGACAGATTGAGAATTGAGTCCTGTTCAGTTCAAAACTTGGCTGTGGCTGTTGTAGTTTTTTAACTGAATGCAATTTGTATTGAGATATAATATGCTACTACCTTTGCTTTGTTCGGTACGAATGAGAATCAAACCCTTTTGTAGTTTTGTTACTGAAGTTGCCCAATGCAGAGCCTCTATAGCCATTCATAAACGACTTCAGGTGATCTATCTTAAAGCTGGTAGTACAAGTGTGTATATGAATCGGTGCAACTAAATTAGGAACTATAACGTTAACTAGTTAATCTTTCCTGTTGAAGGCACCCTTTCCTGCAAGTTTTTCATGCCTCAACTTCTGACGGTGCTTCCTAAATTGTGAATGACTACTGAAGTAGGACTAGCATAAAATATCATCAGCTTGATTAGCCCATACATAGGCTATATGAGGAAGCAACTGAACTATCAGCTGTCCTAGTGCTTCTTATAATGAAGAAATGGTTTAAGCTACGTCGACATAATGACATTATCTTCATGTCTCCAAGGGTGCCAAAGGATCAAGAATATGCTTTTTCAGTCTTTTGAACGGGGTATAAGCCAGTTCATGTATGTGATTTAAGAATGCTAGTCAAAGAAACAGGCTTGCAATTGCAGTAATCAAATCAAGCTGACAAGGGCCCTTGAATCATGCTGAACTTTAATGTTAATTAGTTGGTAGGAATCGTAGTGAGGACATAAATATAAGTACGGATGAATGTGCTGAAATGCTATCAGGGTATGACCGTACACCTGTTTGGGAAACTCTACATGTGAAGCAACCTATCAGATTTGTAACAATTCTTTTCTTCTTCTTCTGAATCTTTTGAGTTCTGTCTAAGACGGAGCTTTACATGGTATTTAGCTTTTAAACCCCACCTGGTGTAGAATTTAATTTCCGACCATGCATCAGCATAATTTTCGTCTGAATATATGCTGAAGGATTCCTCCCACAACTTTAATAAATTCATTGCTGACTGTAAGGCTCGTATGCTTTCACGGAGTTGTATTCTTAACAAAATGCAGGGTCTAATACTTTAATTAGTCCCAAGGCATGATAAGATGTGCTTTAGCTTCACTTTCTTCAATGCAACTGTGATGCTTGAATCACCAATTTGCAGTTTTTTTTTTTTTTTGATGGTTGAAAGACTCCAAATTCACCAGCATCTGTTAGTTCAGATCAAATTTGCTTACTAGATCCAGTGTAGATGAAGGAATGACATTCTCTCAAGACTTCTACCCTCTATTGTAATTGTAGCTGCTTTCCGAAAAAGGGTTCCAACAAAAAAAATGACAGACATGAGATATTACTGAAATTTATATTTTTTTTCAACAAAAAAAGAACTAGATAGGAGGAAAATGCACGACTTTCCTCCTACCACACCGTCCAACTTGCCATGGAATTTGGGGTATTCTTTTTTCATCACAGAGAATTCACGTTCAACCAAACAAATATTCGATTCGAAAAGTCAGAGGATGGCTTTACAGTTTACACAGAGGAGAATCACATTGTACCTTAATTTCTTTATCTATTTTTTGGGTAAACGACGGTTTCTTTATTGACTGTCCGAGGAAGAAATGTGCAAGTACAATGAATGGTGGACGACGAACGCAGCTAAGCATGCACGTTCCTTTTAACTTTTATCTGCCCCATTTAATGGGTCTCTGTAGTTTCTTTCTTGGTCTGGTGGCCTGATCCTACCGCTGTATAATTTATATGACTAAGTCAACTTATCAATTTTTGCATATAATAAGTTGCCGTACTTGTTGCCAACGAAAGGGTGGACTTTTCATACGTCCTTATCTCTAAGAGTAAATTATATATATATATATATATATATATATATGATTAATCCATATATGACATGAATTTCAACTTTTATATAATTGTCATTCATCCAATGTTGACAGTGTATACACTGTCGGTGTAGGAAAGATTAATCCATATATTATATATTATAAATGTATATATTATTATGATTGGATGGATGATAAACTGTAGTTTCTAAGATCTTAATTGTCATCTATATCATTTTAATTTGTGGGTACTTTCCAATGCTGAAAATTTCTCAGGTGATAGAAGTATCCATAACATTATAGATGGTATTAGTTCACATCTAGAAATATGCACAACATTTCAGATAACGCATCGCATTAACTGTTAGTAGAATTTACTTTCGTACAATAGTTATTAGTTATGTAATAAACTTAGGATTATATTAGTATAATAAACTATGGAACTTTGATAGTTATAGAATATAGATGCATACCATTTGTCGCCTAAAATTTTTAAAAAATTGCAAGTGTCTAAGCGATAATAAATAACACTCTCTCAATCGTACTTTTTGTCACCTATAATTTCAAATTTTACATCAATGTCTTTTTACCAAATAAGTTTTTTTTTAAAAATTTTGTGCCTTTAGAACACAGGATAAGCACACAAAATATAGAGCATGGAGTCACTTCAAATTTTAAATATTATCATCCATCACTTGAATTTAGCAAACTTTATCCAAAATTTTTTTCTACATAACTAAAACCTAGAAAACCACCTTTTATCATGCGTGCTAAGGGCACAGGAATAGAAATACCCAAATAAATATAAGAAATAGAGACATATAAAATTTAGGAATATATAAGAAGATAAAATGATGATAGGTTTGAGAGAATTAATGGTTCATCATAGGTTCCCAAACTTTTCAAACTAGATAGGTTCTAATTGACAGGGGCAGCCGTCCTCCAAACTTTTCAAAAATTCTTCATAGAGTATTATTTTTTAATTAGAACTCTATCACTTTGCCTCCCAACATGTTTATCGTTAACTATGTTGTTTATTTTATTACTCCATTAAAAGTATCCCATAATATACTAAGGATTAATTTTTTATGCACTGACAGTATAGTGTATTTTTTTTATACTAGTAGCTATGGATGTATGTCACATATATATGGATTTAAATTTAAATTTAAATTCATATAATGTGGCAATGATTTGACCCTGCTAGTGTAAAAAAAAAAATAATTTTGTACACTAACAATGTATAAAAAAGCTAACTCCACTGTCCTTATATTAAAAGTAACCTACAAGAAACCAGCTCTAGTTTCTTGTAGTTTACCATTATTGCAACTATGATATTAATATCAGAAAATTTTCAAATATTATCTTAAGGAAACACTAACTTCTCTTTATGTAAGTTCCTAAAATAAATGAACTCTTAGTTTCTTGTTATGATTTTTTTTTCTAATGGGTGCCTATTAATCACACCTAAATAAAACTATGCAAATACACACATTTATATTTATTGCACTCCTGGATTGTGACACTTTTCTGAATTAACTATATACTTTTCTAAAAAACTTACACTTGAACCCCCCCCCTTAGAGTGCCCAGTCGACACTAGTTAGCCAAACAGTCTCTGTTTACATTAGGAAAATATTATACAAATATAAAACAAATGACAAATTAAGGGAAATTCAATCACAGCTGGAATTATATTTGTACAAGATTAACTTGAACTTAAAAAAACCGTAGAAGTAAAAAAAAAAAAAATCATATAACTCATTTCAAACATCCAATCTTCCTAAAGACAAGTCTAACTTTCATAATTTGCTTTAAACAATGTCTTCTATTATTAAAAATATTTATTTGCTAGTTATCATTTATTTAACTTTTGTTTTTAGTGTGCTTCATTTGTTATGATTTTTTTCGGGTTATTCTTGGCTTCACTGTTCGCGGGCCCCTAATTTAAAATTCTGTGTCCGTCCTTATTCATGATTCTGTAAATTTCAATCACAAAGTGTCTGCAACGTTCATATTTTCTATAAACTAAATCGTCAATGTGTACACTCTTCCATTTAATTTCAAATTAACTCGATTGGCAGAGCAGAGTACTTTCTAGAATCTAGATTAGAAGAACCAGAAAAAGGGAAAAAAATGTAAAAGAAAATGGAGATAAAAAATGGTAGATAGGCTCTTCTCATCCAAGGGTAAAATGGTATTTGGATTTCTCTCAGCATCCTCCTCCTGTTCAGCTTGGTTTACCAAGATACCTAAATAAGTCAAAGGATAGCAGTAGTACTTCAGTCTAGCTCATAATAGGAATAAGACAAACCAGTCAACGATTCATATCACTATTGGAAGTTACATAACGAGGCAGTAACACATAGGAGTAAGTTGAAATACTCCGGCAGGTCGATCATGGATGTATGTTGCAAACAACTAGCTGCAGATACACTCTCTCGATCACTTCGATGCTTTCAGACTGGTTAATTAGCGTCTATAAGCAACACCAACTATTTTACAAGGTTTGTTTACTTATTCGTATGGAATCCAGAAGATCCTTAGTTTTCTTAGCTTACTTATCATTGACTTATTTCCATGCAACAAACGTCACCCATGGTTAGGTGTGGAATGAGGAGGTGTTGCCGCTAAAGCAATCACCTGCCTCTTCCCACGTTCTGATCTGCTATTCTCAGCAAACTTGAGACTTCCATGGTGCAGCCCTCTTTGTTTCTCATCCTCATTCCACTCTGATTCATAGTAATATTCTTCACTATACTTTGCATCTTTTGAAGCTGCAAAAAACATGCTTCCCCACTGTGGAAAGTGGACAAGCGCCACAGGAAGAGTGCACGCCACCGCCATGACACCCATCCAAGTTAGGCCTGTGGCTGTGGAAAATGTCGAGCTTGAGAAAAAGACTAGTTGGGTCAATCCACCTCCAAAATTTCCACCTGCACCGGTTAGGCCGGAGATTAGGCCGAGGGATCGTCGAGAAATGAAGGGGATGATTCCATATGCTGCCCCGCATGCGGCTTGAGCTCCAATAGAGAAGAGGATCATGGCTAAAATTGCTAGCGGAAGTGAATTGGCGCGACCAAGCCAGATGCAGAAGACTCCTCCCAGGGTTTGGACGATCCAAAGAACCCATAGCCGACCCCTCATGCCGAATTTTCTTGCCGCAAAGTCTGAGGCAAATCCTCCGAAAGGACGAGCAGCGAAGTTGGCCATGCCAAAGCTTGCTGCTATGATTCCCGCAGTGTGTAGCTTCAGGTTAAACCTGATTAAAGTGCATAAGATT